AAATTATATATTTATTCATTATATCATTTATGTTTGGGTTAACTATGTTATATTACGGTTTGAAGGTTTATGGTTTGTTAGAGATCAAAACATTTTTTCAGGGTTTAGAATTTTAAGATTTAGGCATTTTTGCAAATGGACAACCTATTCTAGTATTTTTGAAAATATACATACCAAAAGTGGTATTTTTGCAATTGTCCCATAAAAAATTGGAAAAAAACATAAGACGAAGACAAAAGATAAGTTTGAAGATGACTGAGAAAAATGAAGAAACTCAAAAGAAAGAAAAAGTATAGAATCAATAGAAGAGAAACAAAAAGAATGAACCGAAAAGAAGCACAAAGAAGAGGAAAAATAAAATTAGAATAAATGAGAAAAAAGAGGACGAATACGAAGACAAAACCAAAAGAAACGACGAAGAAGTCGGAGAACAACAAATGGACTATATTAAAAATCTAGAGAAATTTCAAAAAAATGTCACTTTTCAAGTGCCACTTTATAAAAATGCCACACTTTTGAAATTTTTACAAAAATACCACTTTTTCAAAATTATTTTAGAGAAATTTCAAAAATACCACTTTTCAAATGCCATTTTACAAAAATGCCACACTTTTGAAATCTTTACAAAAATACCACTTTTTCAAAATTATTTTTTCTTTATATTATTTATGTTTGGGTTAATTATGCTCTATTAGAGTTTAGTTTTGAGTGTTTAGGAGGTTTTAGGTGTCAAAACATTTTTTAGGGTTTACAATTTTAAGATATAGGCTTTATAAATCTATAATTAGTGGTATTTTTTGTAAATGGACACCCCTAAGTGGTATTCTTAAAAATGTGCACACAAAAAGTGGTATTTTTTGTAATTGCCCCAAAAATCTAACGAATTATCTTTTTTATTTCTCTAATTACGAGATTTTATAAACTAAAGGTTTTTCCCGATATATTAAAAGTCTACTTTTTAATAACAAAATTTCATACTTCCTCCGTTCCTAAAAGATAGATGTTTGGGGTACTTGCAAAAATACCACTTTTGGAGTGGGATTTGCAAAAATACCACTTAGAATAGTTTATTTGCAAAAATACCACT